TTGAACATATTTTGCTTTGCTCTTTTCTAAATAAAAGCTATATTTACTGCTAATAGTAGGGATGGGTATTGGAGGGTTGAAATTCGATTTTTTCCGAGTTTCGAACATTGCCCAACATTTCGATTATTCGATTCGAGATTTGGCGGTGAAAATTCGATTTAATTCGAACTTTTTAGAATTTTCAACATTTTCTTTTTTACTGAAAATTTGAAAGCGATAACTCGAATCCAAAAAGAGATTCAATTGAACTAACATGATGATGTCAAAATGACAACCAAGCATTAGATACAGTTTTCAGATTATAAAGCATCTGAAATATTATTTATTTTCATTTAATTTGAAACAATAAATACATTTCATTGTGAGTTAATACTTGTAGCCACTTTCACGAAAGCAATTTAAGTGAACAGTTATTTGTTTACTTGAATTTAATATGGAAACTGACAAAAAAAAATTCACTTAAATTGCTTCCGGCAGTTTATCGAAGTTCCGATTGTTCCATTTTCTTGTATATTTTTAATTCATTCGCTACATCGAAAATATCGACTTTTATATGCGATACGTCGATATGTATCGATGCATCAGATCAAAAGAATATCGATGTATTTTTTTGATGTGCATCTCTAAGGCAAATGTGGTGCCACATACGGTGATGCCAAATTTAGTCAGAAAGAGGGAAGCTGCAGAGTTGGTTTCTTGCAAATAAAGACGAAATTCGATTTTTTTCTCAGAAAAATTCGAATTTATCCGAATTTTAGCACCACTAAGTTCGATTTCAAAAATTTGTCATTTTGGAGCTAAATTTCGATTAATACTCGGTTGTCGAAGCTTAGAATATCGAATTTACCCATCCCTAGTTAATAGTTTTATTGCAATTTTTGGTCATCACTTAATACCCACATAAGCATTTTCACTGTAATATAAAACTATCTAAAATAAAACCGGTTTATCAGGTATTTTCTCAGTTTCAAAATTGGGAACCGGTTTTTTCAAATTTAAATTTTTCGAATAACTCGAAAACCGGTTTGTGGAAAAAGGCGAATAACCGAACACCCTAGTAAGCAGCACATCAAAACTTCATAATTGCTGTGCAACCCCGCATTCTTTAAGCTTAGCATCTCGAAAAAATCAGCTCTAAATAGCATTCCATTACATTGAAAAACTACATATTCGAATTTCCCTTAATTCACCAACAATTTTTGAAACTGCGTTTTTCACAGATTTTGGTAGAATATATTAAAATACAACTTCACTAAAAATTTTAAAGTGTTACTATCAAAACCAATGGTTTGTATTTTTTTGTTATAATGTTTTTTTTTGTTTTGCTTTTCCTGTGAAATAAAAAATTGGCTGGTTAGGGCCTTTGTGAATTGAGTTAAGGATGCTCTTCTTTCGATTTAATTTTACACAGTAATGAAAGTTCATTTAGTTTTCGTTCACTCTTATTTTTGTTCTAACAAAATTTGCATGATTAACCAAAAAAAAAAAAAAAAGTAAAAAGAAATTAATAACTTTGTTGAAATGTTTATATGTGCCTCATCTATCATTAATATTTAAATAATCAATCACTTGGCTTATGTGTTTTGCTTGCATGTCGTTAATGCATAAATGGGTAACCATCTGCCTGGCTCGATTTCACAAATTTTTCGATTAACAACTTTGTGCTGCGTTAACATTTTTATGTAAACCTCGATACTGCGTAACTAGTTGAGTTATTTGATTACTCAAATAGCAGTTATTTTTTAAATGCATTTAACAGTAAATTCTGCATATGTTTTTCTTTCTGATTTGAATTTTATTTCAATATTTGAAATTCTTTTCCGCGGTTATTGAATTATACTCACGTATTTCATTCCTTTCAACAACTCCCAAATTTCCAGGGTACTGCCACGGATCTGGTAGTGCAATGATGGCAACATATGGCATACAGACGTAAACACCGCATGAGGTATCTATTTTTTTCATAATGTTACCGTTTTTATAATTGATCATTATAATTTTCTTTTAATTATCCAGGTTGAACCCGTGCAAATTTGGTCTTCCACCGAACTTATCAAAGTTTATCAACACTTGGGTGTGAATAGCAAAGTTGGCCTATCCGGTCGTCCCGGCCGCCCTGTAGGCTCACTGGGCACCAGCAAAGTATATCGCATCTGTGGCATGACTGTACTCTGCTACCCACTCATTTTTGAGGTATCCGATTTCTATTTGTATCGTGACATGGCGCTGCTGATTGATGATATCAAAACCGAGCTGCAATTTGTCGGTAAATATTGGCGTCTCTCCGGCCGCCCACAGTGTGCTTGCTCATACGCGTAGAGCATATGCGCGACGCGCAATTCAAAAAAATGCTCGACTTGATGGCCATGCTAAAGAAAGGCTACTGCGATGGCATGAAAGTGCGCATAGGACGTTTTCAGAATTTGATAAGCAGTTCGTGTATTGGTAAGCGGGGACAATGTACTCCTTTTTTTGTTTTTAGTTAAACTGTATGCTTTAAAAATTTTTTACTTGTTCTAGAGCATCTTGATTTTGTGAATCAAAGCAATTTGTCCTACAATGATAACGCTTTTGTGCAAATCAATCATGAGTATATCGGCTATCAGTCGCTCACCGATGTGCCTAAGGCACTAACATATGTTGAACAGAAAACTTCGCTGGACGTAAGAGTTTTGTTTTCCCCTCAAAACAATCTGCTGTTTATTAAAAACTTACACTTAAACTTTCTTAACAGCACTTTAAACACAAACCTACGCACGAAATCATTGAAACTATGCGCAATACCGAATCCATTTATTGTCTCTGTCAATTGTGGGGCATTTTGTTGGAGCGCGAAGGTGCCAATTTCGAAGTGAATGGCCTAAGCGTAAATCAAGCGCGGCTCTATCATCGTGCAGGTTCGTTGCGCTATTGGCGCGCAGTGCGCTACTGTTCCTCGTTATTACATCACATTGTCGATTCGATTAGTCCTTTCATCACCACTGTGTTGGTGAATGGCAAGGAGTTAACTGTGGGTGTTATTGGACAAAAGGAAACAAATTTCGATAAACCAATGATGCCGGCAGAGATACAAAATGTGATGTATACGACAGTACAGCCGTACAATGTGATACAGGCGGTGTTGCAGCAGGAAGTGGTGTTGTATTGTGGTCGTTTGATCGCCACAAATCCGTCCATGTTTAGGGGTATATTGAAGGTGAATGAAGCGAGATCTTTTTGTGCCACTTTCAATAGAATTGTTTGCTTTTATTTTTACTTTTTTGTAGATACGCATTGGTTGGGTACTGGAGGCCATGCGTCTGTACTTACAAATGTCCGGGCAGGAATCAATTGATTTGGAAAATCTTTCACCATACCAAGTGCGTATACTCCTGCAAAAAGTGCTTACTGTAAGCGAATGGGCAGCTGAGGAAAAGTAAGTTAAGAAGAATATCAATACGGTAATGAATACGAGTATTAGATCCATATGAATCGGTTAATTATCAAAGGGACAAGTCAGCATGTTTTAGATGTGCAGTTCGGTTCATTTAAATGAGCTCTGTTGAACTGCATCAAATTTACGGTGTCGACTTATTCCTTTTTTTAATTAACCGATCCATATAAGAATGAATGAATGAATAGAAATAAAAATCTGAACCTGAAGATAATTGGTAATGGGAATATGAATATAAGTACAAGTATGGGAATATGAATATAAGTAATGGGAATATGAATATAAATATGAATTTAATATCGAAATGAAAAATTAAATCAAATTAATGAATGTAAATGAATTGAATAAATTTTTCTAGGCTAACGACGTTGCAATGTCGCCAATTAGAGGGTTGCCTCTGCCGAGTACCGAAACATTTCTATAATAAAATATGGGAAATCCTACAACGTACTCAAGGTATTACAACGCAAGGTCATCTCTTACCCACCGTACCTACGTTGACAAATATGAGTCGTGGTGAAATCACGTTCTCACTGCTGGTAGAGGAGACGCTTATGTGCATCGATTGCCCTGAAAGGCGACAAATTACAGTGGAACTGTTATGCATCATAGCGACGATATTGAATCGGTAAGAAGTTAAATATTTTTGGAAAAATGCTTGTTACCTAAATGAAAAAACTCACGAATCGTAACATCATCAGTCGTATGATTAATTTGTAAAAAATAATTTCTCTGCATGTTAGCAGCGCAAGCGCTTAAACTAGGTTTAGTGGAATAAATAAAGTGTAGAAATAGTAACTATTATCGAGAAAGAGTGGAGTACATAGTTTGTGAGTGTCCAGCTTTCAGCAGGCAAAAACTAGCGTTACTACCACGTGAAGTGCAGCCTACAATTAGCAATCGCCAAGGACCAAAGCGTCTACTAAAATTCACCAAAGAGGTCGGAAGTGTTCTGTAGATATATATAAATAGAGTAAGCACTAATTGTACTGCTACTGTAATAACTCTTTGCCTCTACTTGGGTAGGTTTATGAGTTGCCTGTATCTCTATAGCTTATAGCCATCTTGTAGGATCGAAGACTCCTGGTGTTTCGTCAACGCAGTTCCCAGTGAGTTAGGTATTTTCCTTTTCGAGCGCTTTCTTTGTCGTGCTAGGGCCTATGCCAAGAAAGAGCTCAGGTTATATTAGGGTCGAGGCAGCAGCCATTCTGTAACATTGCCTCAGATTTGTAAGCAACGATTCATTGGCCGTAAATGTAACTGGCAATAGTACGAAAGTTCTTTTGATCTATGTGAAAGTCTTTATTGGTCACCCTGCATACAATATTAATTTCAATTTATCTTAGAAAACTAGCATATTTACATAATGCATATCGATTAACGAATTCATTTATTTTTAGCAATCCTGAGTTACATTTTAAGCAAGCGCTTGACATAGATGACATACTCAGCGAGGCATTCGCCATGTATTGCAAGGTATTTACAAACACAAGCGAATTATAGTGGTTTGATTTAAATTTACTTAATTGCAATATTCCTTTTTCAGGACAATAACATCGAACGCCAAAATGACATGACTTCTTTCTATGCTTTATTTTATACGGAAAGCACCGGCTATTTGGCGCGTGCTGCTGTCAATAAAGTGCTGCAAGGTGGCGCTCTATCCACCTTAGATGAGAATGGCTTCTCAAATGGTGGCGGCCAAATGCACGATGAGACCTGTCATGTTTCTTAAATGCAGCAGCGCCATTGGAATTTCACCCGCTTGCCAAAGTTATTAGTCTATAAATTCAATAAGTATAAATTAACCACACACACATGTACGCACCTATTTATTACTTCACATTTAATCACATCTATCTTTATCTTTACTATTCTTAAATCGAAATTTACCCACCCACTATGTGAGCGAATTTCGCACAAGCAAGCAATATTTATGTTAAGTTTTTTAACCTACCTTCATATTTCAAATGTCTCGCTAATGTGCTCTCTGAGAATTTAATGCCGTTTTGACGTCGTTTTTTAACTTTTTTTTATATAACCATACCATACACCATGATTCAGTTTTGCAGCTCTCTAACATACGAAACTAGTCTGCCTTTTTTATAATTTTTAACTGACACGGTTTTATTAATAATTCAGATTTGGAACCTTATATACTTGTTACTTACACATTGTTGCACTTTAATATTTATTTACTTTTCAAACGCGTTAAGTGAGATATATTCACTTGAGACAATTTCATATTATGATTCACCAAACATTGTGGTAAAATACGAATTTGTTTATAAAAAGTTAGTTCATTAAAATACGGTTTAACCAAGATACTTTTAAACTAATTCATCAGTGTTTTTTTCAATTTCTAAAGAATCGCCGAAAATTATACCAATTAATATACCGTCGGTGATACTGCAAAACGTTCTATGTCATTTATTACCTTTGGTGCTTAATTGATTTCTAATCTGTATCTGATCGCTTCCGGCAATCGTTCATCTTCATCAGCCAAAGGTAGACAGTTTTCTTATTCGTTTATTAGGGTGTAACGATTTGCAGATGCATTCCGGTGCAATTAAGAGACCATATAAGTGTCAGGGGTACTAATAGACATAGACCGTTTTGCAGTATCACCGACGATATGAAGGAATTATCGCAATTGAATATTTGCAAAAGGGAGCTAGTAATACAGGCACAGTTAAAAATTCAATAAGGAGGTTGCGGAAAGCCGAGCAAACTCCGAGTAAAATTCTTGTTTCATCGAGCCAACGCTCCCGCTCACAAAACTAATGTTGCGATGGCTGCCATACAAGCACTGGGCTACGGATAGCATGAACACCCTCTCTGCTGCCTCCCATCGACTTGTACCTTCTTCGCTTCAAAGAACAGCTTAGAGGCAGGAAATGTCGTAGCGTAAAAAAAGGTTTAAAAGGACTTTTAGTAAAGAGTTGCATGGTATTTAAGTAGGGTAATCAGTACACTGGAATCAAATGCCAGTATAAACCTAAAAAATTCTGCATTTAAAGATTTTTTCGTTTTTATTAAAACACAGATCTGCATAAGGAGCAGGTACAATCAAATATTGAGGCCCACGCCAAAAATATATATTTCCATCATAAATCAGTTTCCGTAAATTCACCAAATTAAAAAAAAGGTTCATATTTTACATTTAATAAATTTCCCTAAATAAGCGTAAAACTATGGGGTCATTGGTATTTAGTGAGTTTTTTTTAGTCATCAGAAGCTAGTTACAAACAAAATGATACCTTTTGATTAAAGCCTTGCACCAAATGTTAAAAATGGTGCGATCAGAATAAACTTATTTTATAAATGAGATTAGTTTTACTATAAAGGCATATAGAAGTTTTATTTTTTAAACGTTAAGAGCACAATCTTTTTCGCATCAAGTACATATTTCTTCAAGCACTTCTAAATGGTCCACATTTGAATACCTAAAATTGAATGAAATAAATATGCAAATACAAGTTCACATATGTTAGATATTGCAAATACTCACTTTTCTGCGTTATCTTGTCATTGAGAGATACCCTCTCGCTGTCCTTGGTTGAAATCGCTTACAGTAGTAGCCTCCATAATTTATGTTACGCTTCGTTTCCTTTTATTAACCGACTTTAAAAAAGGGAGGTTGTTATCACTTCGTCGGAATAAAAAATAGAAACTAAGCAATTGTTTTTTCTTAAAATTTCATATCTTCCACTTAAATTTATTTGAACAAATCTAGTGAAAAGTCTGCAATTTTAAGAAAAAGCATTTGCTTAGTTTTTATGCATATGGCACATTATATATAACTATGCGGTGATAACACTGTGGAACATAAAATAAATATGGCGTGTTAGCCATACTCAGTTTTACTAGAGCCTAAAAAACCGACTTCAATTCTCATATAAAAAACAAATATATATATATATATATCTCATGATGTAATGATACATAAAAAAAAAATATTCCGACGAACTGATAACCTCCTCCTTTTTTTGGAAGTCGGTTAAAAATTCAGTCCAATGTAAAATAAAAATATGGGTACCAAATTAAAGAAAGATTTTGTAGAATTCATATATATTCATATATTTTATTTTTTTAAGCTAATAAAGTTAGTACTTAACATATATTTTTTTTTAATAAGAATTGCAAAATTTCAAGGATATTGAAGGATAAAATTATAAAAGGGCATTTTCAATACCTACTCGTCTCTTACGCACCAAAAAAATGTAATCTGTTTTAACTTTACAGAATCTTCTTTTTAATTTGGTACCCATCCTGTTTTTTTAAGTACATTGCACTGAATTTTTTAAATCATTTTTTGAATTACTCATTACTTTCAAATTTCAAGTTTCTTTTAAAAAATCCTGAAGTCAGAGAGAAAAATTAAGAATGCAATTTTACTGTATTTGGCCCTTGGTTTCGCGAATGCATTGCTCTTTTGTGTGTAAAATTGCCTGTCGCAAGGTATTTATTATATGTAAAATTTTAGATATCAAATAAACAAATGGAAATATAGCCAAAACTGGTCAACATAAGGCGTTTTTATTATAGCCACCAGTGTAAATTACAAATCCCGAAAATCCCGGGATTTTAGAGACTTAAAAAATACCGGGATCCCGGGAGTAACATTCCTAGTTGGTACGTAGATAACTAAATACTAGTTTGGCGCATACGCCAAAAACTCTTTCACACTTTTATAAAGCAAAAGCCCTAGCACCACAAGTCTTCGAGGCTCTGCATGTCTTACAGCATGCAGAGATGGCAACTAATGGTTACCATTGGTCACAACGCCAAGCCAACCAATTTATAATTGAATAAATATTTTGTGTTAGTACATTCAACTTGGAACCCCACTCCTGCGAGCCGGATACTTACTGCTTATGATCCATCTGCTAGACTACGAAGTTTTCTAGGGAGCCAAGTACAAAAAATTGCAGTGTTAATTTACCCTTTTGTTTCAAAAGATTGAGCAGCAGTACTAGCTGCTTTCATAATTGTTATGTTTTGGTGCGATAGGGCTGATTTTAAAGCGACTTAACGGAAGTTTAGTAGCATTTTTTCGTTCCCTCGTTTAAAATTTCGATGGAAACCAGTAAATAGAACTGATTTGAATTAAAGGTATTTTTTTAATATTTGTAATGTAACGTTTTGGTATGGACCTCCATAAATTACTAACCATTATTACCATTTTCTGCATGATGGTCAAATATTTTTGAATACGTTGGCATAAAAAGCTTCCTGTGGATAGCATCTTTGATTTCAAGCAGTATTCTAAAACACCTTTCCCGACAACGTGTTGTCGTTAAATTTGTCACTGAAATTTCTACTAAACTTATGCTGGATTTCCACTGGGCCTTGAGATAACAAAAATAATCGGTCCTATTATGGTTGTCGACGTCGATGTCGATGTAATTTTTTCGTCAAAAAATAGCCCTCATCAGTTCAACTCCAGTTTCGCAAAATTGTAGTTTTGCCTTTCCGCAAAAATGCTGTGGTCAGCATAGCTTGCGTTGGACTTGCGAGGGCTATTTTTTGACGAAGAAATGACATCGAAATGAAATATGGAAACATTAGCGCTGAGTGAAAATCCGGTATAACACTCCCATAGAAAACTTCCTCAACGTTGGTGGTCTTGCCGTGGCGGGGAAGCTTAAATGATGTCATGGTATACCCCACAGTGTGGGGTGCACCATGGCAACATGAACTAA